GACTCTGCTTCAGGGAAACCTAGGGTCGAGCCTGAGGGGAGAGAAAGCGCCCGAGGGTGAGCGTGCGTGTGAGCGAGGAGTCGGAAAGGGGCACCCATCGGCTCAGTGGCACTGCCCGCTGTGAAGGGACGCCGGCCCGAGCAGTGAAAGCCTCGGGCGGTGTGTGTGCGACTCCCTGGGGGGTGCGTGAATGCTCGGGCGGTTGCTGCTCCCTTAACAGGAGGAGCGGGGCAGGAGCGGGGGAAAGGACAGAAGCAGGGATATGGGCAGGATGCAGGCAGGGGCAGGGACAGGCGGAGGGACGGGGCAGGGAGAGGAGAAGGGACAGGACCAGCAGCAGGGACAGCGGTACAGGCAGGGGCAGAGCTGTGGGCAGGGACAGGCGTCACGAGCCTTTCACTCCCGGCCCATGCGGCCCAAGGAGCAAGGCCAGGACAGCAAGGCGAGAGTGACGAGAGTTGTTCTTTATTCACGTCCCTTTATCGGACACCCCAGATGTGGTTTCACACGTGGCACACCCTTCGAGGACTGGGGTACAGCACGGTTTGGCCAATCCCCACTTACCCCCCCCCACCTTTGCAAAGCCACCGCAGTTCTATGGCGTCGTCATCCTCCTTTCCTCGTCCGGGCGTCCCTGGAGTCGGTCTGGCTACAGGTGCTTGTCTGTGAGGGCAGGTGACGGGAGGGTCTCGGGGAGGTGTTGGAGGGGCTGGGGTGCTGGCCTTATCTCGGGAGCCCGGGGATAGCCTTCATCCTTTGCGGTGGGGCCCTCCTCCTCCTCCTCCTTCTCGCAATGAGCTGGGGTCCTGTAGCCATGCCTGCTCAACCATAACTATGCAGTATACCACGTAAACTATATGTGTATATATATCTTAAGAAAATTCATGCGATTTCATGTGATAAAGACTAATTGGTACAATAGTTAGGGAATGCAATTTTGCTAACGAGCTGCAGGCAGGGGCAGGGGCAGAAGAAGGGATATGGGCAGGGATAGCAACGGGCCAGGGGTGGAGATAGGGACAGGGCAGGGGCAGGGGCAGGGATCCAGGCACGGGCAGGGATTCAGGCAGGAGCAGGAATTCAGGCAGGGGCAGGGATCCAGGCAGGGATCGATCCAGGCAGGGATCCAGGCACAGGCAGGGGCGGGGATCCAGGCAGGGGCA